TGCCATTCATGCCTTTCTCCAGTGTTTTTCCCGGATTTCCTCCGGTTATGCTAGGTACTTCTGCGGTTGTCCAGGGGCCCCGTGGTGTTGTTTGGGATTTGGGAATTTTGAAGAAAATTTGTTAACCCGTCTGCCGGATTGTCAAAGAAACTTGCGTACCCATTAGCCGTGCTCTCTCATGCCGACTTTGGTGATGCGGTGACAGATCATGTCTCCAGGGGTTCCGTGTTGTTTGGTGGGTCCCCCGCTGCCCTGGGGGTCGGCGGAAGCAGGCGCTAGGCCAGAAAACCTGAAATATACTGTAGGACAAAGACTTAGAACGTATTTTGGAATTTTTTTCATTTTTTCTCCCTGGTAAATATGTTCTAAGCGTATGGGTAAGAACATCGCCGACGTTCTAAGTGAAAGGTGTTAAGAATGTTGAGGCCATACACATAGAACATGAGGCCATATACATAGAACATGTCTCGCATGTACTCATAGAACATGTGGAAGGCTTTGTATAAACACCTGTAAACACTTGAGACATTGCAAAAGTCACAGCGCTCATGTGGAAATGCATATGTAGATTGCATATAATTACACAGCTCACAAGCACGCGGCTTGGAAATGCACAGCTCCTATCCCCCTTTTGCTTCCACAGCTTCAGGTGGTCTTGCTATTCACCACTACCCCCTACACCAAGCGACAGGAACGTGCTGCTTGTGTCCCCATGTTCTAAGTGCATACACTCACAATGGAATCCATGGCACATGCATGATTGCTCTTTTGTTTCATCATAGAAAGCCTCCTCGTGTAGACCTGTCTTGATCTTTTCTGCTACTCCACTACGCCAGGCCAAAGACCTCAGGTGGTATATGTATATACAACCCTCTTGCATCTATCCATGTTCCTCATATATAATGCTCTAAGTGTGCTGATGCAGCATGTTCTAAGCGAGCAATCCTTGGACGTTCTAAGTGTGCAATCCAGGATGTTCTAAAAACGATGTTCTAAGTAAAGGGTTTCGGGTTTTGGAAAAAAACGATGTTCTAAGTATATGTCTGCAAGTATAGACTGACTCGGATCTTTCCTGCAACAGAACGCAATGCCCGGTCATGCACGCCGACACAAACGGCCCGATTCTCGTATGGCCGCCGCTTTTGGAAGCACGGAGCGAGATACACATATGTGCACGTATAAAGGTTGTTGTCTCCTTATCGTCTTCACACGTTTCCAACTTCCTGATTTCCAACAGCGCACGACTTACCCGGAGAAGCACGAGGACTGAACTACAGGAATCCTAGGTCCGACGTACTGAACCATTCGACGTGAAGAAGCGCGAGCAACCCTGAGTCCATAGCAACGTTAGGCAAGCTACTAGGTACCACTCCCTTCCAGCGACCGACTCCCCGGACAACCTCTAGCAGTGGCCTCCCCCCCGACAAAACAAAAAAACCAAACGAGGGGACGCGAAACAGTCCCCCGGAAGCGTCGCTTCGGCCAGCAGTGCTGGCCTTGGTTCCTACTGGTCAGGATGGCCTCCTGCTTCTGGGTACTAAAGCACTTTGCTACTAATAGCATCCTAGACCGTAGTTTTGTGTGTCTTCCACTCCAGTGTCATGTCTTCACAGGCGGCGCACGCGAGTTATGAATTTGGGCGGGATTCGCCCATCGATGCCCGGCGACAGTATCACCTCATTTGCGCTCATGAAGAATGGCAGCCCTTCCTGCCATCGTTGCGCGAGACCCGAACAGGCCCCACCAGGGACGCCTCGACCCAAAACTAGACCGCGTGTGAAGGTCCCTAACCCCCACTGAAGGTTGTCAGGAATCGTGGGGGTCGACGCCACCACAATCGACGCCGCTACACTCGAACACACTGTCCCCAACAAGACCCGATGACCGAGGAAGGCACGAAGCCCCGTAGCCAAAAAAGACCATGGAACAAATGGGTGCCCCCTATACACGGCGTATAACGGCATCAGGGAGCCGTCCAGGGCACCCTTCGAGCTGGAAGGTTTCTGCACGCCCGGGGCGCATTGCAGCAGCGCGTTCCGATCGCAGAAACCAGCAAGACAAATAGTGGGACCCAGGGACTCTTCTGCGGGAGGTGGTTGAGGAAGGAACAGTGAGTGGTATTGCCTAAAACGCATCTCCCCGACCACACTAAAACCGCTACATCTTCGCGTTCGCACTCCCATGGCGGCACTCCGAACCCACAAGTCCTCCAAAGCCGCGGGCAAGTCTATGTAGATGGCCACCTCGCGAGGCAACCCGAACCGTGCGGACCGGAGGTGCCCCGTCTCCGGTCTCCCAGATGTGCGTCAGCCCGCCCTGCAAGGTACACCCCTGGTACAAAAACCGTTCTGCCCTTTTTCGGGTCAAGGCGTTCGTAGATATCTATCTGTCTTGTTGTTGGTTGGATGTTGTCGTTTCTTAGCCCTTTTAATGTGCCAGGTCAACACAAAAAAGGTGCTCACACCTAGATCCTTTGCTGACCTGTTTCGGTGGTTCTAGGCACTACACTCATGGACCCTGCATGTTGCACACTTCAAGATACGTATTATGCATTCCCTAGGCACAAACCAAGCACATGGAAGCTGCACCGTAAATGTCGCAGTACACGGAAACTTGCACGCCTCTGCTCTCGTAGCGTTCAGAATCGACATGCCACAGAGGTCTTGTGCCATATGCGGTGGTTGATCGATATTCTTTCCTCCTGGAATGGCCATTCATCGCGGAAAAAATGATGTCTTTCGCGAATCTTTCGCGGCCTCATCGCGAAGCATGGTCCTACAACCATGTCCGGCTAACCGGATCCGGAACATGTCATAATAGGGAGAGACATCTTGCAGCATGACCCCACATGGTGGAACGTTTCCACAGCTACTCAGGGTAACTTGCAGCTTCTGTGCGACAATAGTGCCAAATAGAGTCAGGCACAGCTCAACCCAATCCTCGTGTCAGCTACCAACCCATGGTGATGCAGCCTCGGGAATGTTGGGGGGGGCCTCAAGCTGGGAAACTACACTGCAGCGGCACGCGAAACTTTCGCGGATCTCTCGCGCAATGTTACTGGCGCTTTCCCCGGGCAGCCGTTACATTCGCAGACATCTGCAGAGCCCGTCAGAGCAGCGGCAGGTCGTTGTCGCATTGTCAGGGCTGTGCCTACCCAGATGGCCAGTCTGTGACAGTGGGGACAGGAATCGGAGAATCCTTTACGCACTGCCAGGGCTGGGCACGGATATGTTGAGGCTTCAGTTCGTTAATCTGTGACATATGGAGGGCCACTTCGCCCACTGGCTCCGCTGGAGGATTGCCTGGCGTCTCTATTCGTGGAAAGAAAGCGATGACCCTCAATAAATCTTTCGCGGAAGAAATAGTTTCGCGAACCTCATCGCGAATCTTTCGTGGATGGTCCTACCAACATCTGAAGGGCTGTCTTATATACAACGCCTAACACGCGGTTTTCGATCCACTCCCATGTGGAGAACACGACATGACAAAGCTTGAGAAGCAAAGTGCGAAAGAGGTATTCAACAAGATGTGAAGAACACGACACGACCAAGAAGGAATGCCAAGAAACCACTGGAAAGAAAACTCTGCTCTACAATATCAGCTCCTCAAGAGGTCAGGGGACCTCTCCGTCTGAAGGGAAGACAGGGCGACCGACCGATCGTTCGGTGTTGTCTATACGATCTCTGCTGCCACCCTTGAAAACGATGTGGCAAACATTTCTCTCGGCCGCGCCTCGCAGTTAGCACCTCAGATACAGGGGCCACCGACGGTCCGAACTCCGAACCCCCCCCCCCAGGCGCGACCAGCGGCCACGGCGAGAGAAGTGGAGCATCCCCCTTCCTTGCCGAGGCGCGCAGGCCCGAGATCACACGACTGTCGTGCGGCTCGAAGGGCGAGAAGTGGACGCGCCGCCGATCCGCCACCAGTCCAGTCCTGGCCAGCGAAGCGCCGCGGAGCGGCGAAAAGACGGGGTGAACACATGCGCGATCTGCTCAGGAAAGGAGACTCCGGAGAGAAAGGCTGCAAAAAACCTGCCATGTCATTTTCACCCGAGCCAATGTTAGCCCCTCACTGCCCTTCCGCCAGGGCTGTCTGCTATTGGTACATGTCTGTCTGCACCAGCCGAGGCGTCAACACAGGCATGATCTGCCCTTGACAGGAGACCCGGAGACAAGGTGTGCAAAATAACAGGAATGTCATTGGGTCCCCAGGAACTTTCCGGTGTATTTCGTCACTGCCGTTCTGGCAGTACTTTCGGGAATCTCAACAAGTCTGCCTGCACCATCCAAGGCGCATCGAAACCCCACATGTTCCCAAACCGAGACGATACACATTGAGGCTACCCTTGAAAATGACAGTGACTGAGCAGGCCTTCGAACAAAAGGCACCAAACATCAAATGCATGGCCATGTCATCGCAAAGGTACGAACTAGTACCCCTTTCCATGAAGCGGCTCCCGTCGGTGCTAACGAGTCAGGTACCCTGTGACGAGGGATGTGGCACGGAAGCACAGGATTAATGCGAGCACCATCACTACCAGAGGCTGCGGAAAACCAAAGACAACGCCGACTGCCTGCGCCAGACAGGCCGTCCCCCGATGCGAACGCGTGGCAGAGGCCTCCGAATCGAAGCCACACTAAGTCTTTCAAGCTTACATATGGAAGTCATATGTATACCTCTAACCTGCATAACAGCTACTCGCACACAGGGAGAAGTTCCCACCATTAGACCTCAAGTTCCAGAAGTAGAAGTGGGACCTGGTGTACTTATCCGGGAGGTAGAAGGTACCAACAATAAGTTCAAGTGGCCCTTCTCCGGACATCTCATCCACCATTATCTTTCAGCGGGGCGCTCCGCTCATGACAGCAATAAATTCTGCGTACGTGCCGTGGTGCCCACTCTGAAAGGATCTCGGACAAATGCAGTCGTTTTCATGCGTTGTTTCTTGCAAAAACTTGCACAAATCCAAAGCGAAAAAGTAAAGGAAACCTACTTCGTTTCTACTTATAACCTGCTTAGGTTCTGCGGAGGTTCTACTAACAAGTGCAGTCAGTAGACTTGTCACGTGTAAGCCGAGCTAGAACAGAACCACGAAGTAGGTGCCGCAGAACAGCCAGAAAAAAATCTCGTGAGGCCCAAAGTCTGTGCTGCGTACCTCCGGCAGACGGGGGTCGTCCGGCCAAAGACGTGTCAGCAGGCGCTCATCGTCGATCACCTGCCGAGGGGGGAGCGCCACAGATCACGCGTGGGTCCCCGGAAAGCATGCGCGTCCCAACGCAACGAAACAGGGAAGTCACAAACATAAGCCTAGCTCGGTCGAAGCTCCAGTAATATAGCTCCGCGCCGGGTATTTGACACCTCTATAGAAACCCTCTCCCAACACCTCGTGAGAAGGTTCGATGGAGCCCAGGAGAGGGAGAAACACGCGAGCTCCATCGAAAGGCACGTCAGCGCCGACGTGTGATGCACCAAATCCGAGCAAGGGCAAGTGATCCAAATCACAGACGGAGACGCCACCCACTGCTGCAAGTTTTTGACATGGGACTGCAGACGTGTCATACACACATCTACTCACAAGTATACATCACGTGCATATGAACTAGACTGACTCAGCTCAAAGGCCACGTGTTTGCTATGTGTCCATCACTTCGGTTTCCTTTAGTTCGCCTGCTCGCATGGTGACGTGTACAAAAACAGCGACGATGGAACGATTCCGCGAACTCCGTGAAATCCGCGCGCAACTCTCCCAACGGTGCGCCACAGGCTTCGAGGCCTCCATGGTGTGGCCGTTCACGGCTCGGAGCAACGAGGACCCCTGCCGGTGAGGGCAGCCAAGGGTGAGTCAGTGGGACTATAGCATGGGACATAGACCACCAGCCGGTGACCTCATTGGAGGGAAAACCGATGACTGCATACGCAAGTCCAAGGTCGGCACTGGCACCGGGCACCCGTTCGAGAAACTACACAGGACCCCAGAGGCTACTCAAAGATTGCGCGGTGCGTCCCGGAGTCGCTACTCCAAGACCAAAGCCTGAACTCCAAGACCACAGCCTGATTGAGCTGGGAACCCGTCCCAGAAGCCGCCCGTCCCGCTGCAAGTCCGCCTGTAACTGGAAGCGCTGCTTCTGGTCGGTCCGAACGATCTCCTGCGCAGGAGGCAGACGCAAGGCTCCGACTGCGTCCCCCCGGGATCCACTCCGCACCAAAAAGAACGCTCTTCTCCGGACCACTCACAGTTCTAGACTACATTCCCTAGAGATTGTTCCAAGGACAGCGACGAGCCCACGGCACCTCGATGTCCGTCAAAGAGCATCGGAGCGCGCGAAGCTCTGCCAGGCACAAGAGCTCCTGAGCGCTGGAGATGTGGGTTGCTGTCTCATCGAACAATTCATATATTATATCCCACTGACCGCCCACGATCCGTCTCCAACGGTCTCTTTCGAAAGATTCACGGCTGCTGTCGGGATACGTGACAAGATCTTCGATCATGATAGCAGCTTCCCTTTCTTTACCGCTCTATAGTAGCTGAACAGGAATAGTAGTCATAGTCGTTCTCGGTGTAAATTGTTGTAGCAGCAGTGCCAGAGGTAGTTGTTGTTGTTGTCGTCGTAGTCCGAGCGGTAGCAGTAGTAGTACTGGCAGTAGCCTACATAGTACGGGTCACAGTGGTCGTGCTATTGCCCTGAATAACGTGAAAATGCCGGGCGGTCTCCCTGGGCCCCGTGATCGAGTGTTCCCCCCACACAGACGAGCGGCTTCAACCGGACAGAATCCGTCGTCACGGATCCGGATGCCGAGCGCCACAGCCTTGTGGCGAAGAATCTTGCTCAACGCCTCGCAGTGGCGGATCGGATGGACCATGGCACTTCCGGTTAAGACCTTCACTCCCAAAACTGTGGGGTTGCCTCTACTCCGACGCACAATCACTTCTCGGCAGGCGGGAGGCAGAAAGGAGGACGTTGTTTGTGAGAGGAGCGTGCATCATGAGATCGCATCCCTCGAATACGTTCGATGTCTGTATTTTGCTGTGCAAAAACAACACTACGGGCATGAGGCAGGCTGGAGGGCGTAATTCATCAGAGGCAAGTAGATCGTGCAATCGCATCCCTCGAATGCGTGGATGTCCCCGGGCCTTCGAAATCCGATGCAGCCGCTGCTCGTTGCGTCCGGAACTCCTGCGCAGACCCAGAGACGTGGAGGTGGCGTGGCCAAAAAACCTGACCGTTCTTTCTTTGCAATTGGACCGGTCACATTGGACAAACACAGTCTGGGGCGCAAAGCCCCCGTCCGACCAAAGAAATCCACTTGCTAGAAGGGGCACCGTTGTCCGTTCTGCACAGGCCGGGAGGCCACCAGTATCCACTGTCGACGCCTCCAAACGTGTTCTGTCTGAGATCTGGGTTGCAAAACCCCCGCCCGACAAAAGACATCCACGAGCTACGAGGGACTCTGTTTTCCGTTCTGCACTGGCATGGGGGTCACCAATTAGGTCGGAGAACCTGGTAGAAGGATCGCACCGAGCGCGACCCGCCACCGTCCACACCGTCCTGGAGCGTGTCGACGCGTCGCGGAGATGCGGCGCACAGGACGGCGCGGCCACCGCCGAACCTCGTGCGGCCGTTCGAGAGGTTCGAGAGCACCGTCACGAGGACGCATGGTGCTTAGGACCACCACGGAAGCAAGGTGGCTCGACATCTGTAGGTGAAAGCGCAAATACAAATCCATGGTGTACAGTACCGCCGTGCAAGGCAGGCGGCAGGACCCCTTTAGGTGAAAATGACCAGAAGAAATCGATAAACTACGAACAACCTCCTAGGAGCGAGTGGGCCCTCGATTCCTCTGCCAGTTCCCACGCCACCGACGCCCACCGACCGCCGTCGGCGTCGAGCGGCGCGGTGGAAGCCGCAGGTGCGGAGCCAGCGTAGGTCGCGCCTGCCGCAAGGCTGGACATACCGTCGGCACCTTCTTTATTCGGAACAGGCCGAAGCAAACCTTGATAATGTAGTAGTTGGTGGAGGTAGCATCCCGGGAACACTGCAACAACGACCGGACAAAGCCCACAACCGCCATTGCTGCGGCCACGTCCGTTTGCCTACAGTATTTACAGCGAAGACCAACCGTGTCCTATTCCGGCCCTCTGGCTGAACAAACTTTCGACCAACATCTCCCTGCTGTTGCCAGAGTGGCACAGCACTTTCGCCCGGCGAACAACAAGTTCGCTCTTTGCTTGCAAGGCTCCAAGCTAGTCAACAGGTACTTAAATGGATGTTCCTCTGAAACAGCATTTCAATGCTTTCGAGTATGGCAGGGGAATGTTTCGCGAGACACTTCACACAATGTCCGCAGTCTGTGTGACACTCACTTCCCAACCATGTTTTGCACATGACCCCACATGACACACTCGGCCTGCAAGGCAGTCTCTTCCTGCCCCAAGTTCCGTGGCGCGATCCTGGCGCCATCAGCACCGCCAAGCATGGACCGACCTGACAGAAACCACAGCAACGCAACAACCACGCCGACACTTGCTGCAAAACTCTTCAAAACTAGCAGTTTCAGAGATCAAGTACTCACTACTGAGAATTCACGGTTACTGGGCCTCATAGACCTGCTCATGATCCAACACACATGTTACGGGGGCAAACCAGACCTTTTATATCCGGTGCACAGTTCACTAACAGTGACTGCAATAATTCAGATACAGCATGGCAGGAAACAGCTATGGCAACAGTGGATGCTTCAAACCATCTAGAGTCTATTGCAGCAAAAAGCCGCAAACGATTCGTAGCCAAGTCCAAGTACTTCACTGCGTCCTACCGGTTCAATTTTTGAAGACAGGTTCCCTGCTTCATCTGGAGTCCTACTTCCTGACGGTTGCCTTTACTCTCTTTGCGGCCCAAAGAAGATTTTGCTCCTTGGTTTTGCCGTCTTTGCCTGCCTCCCAGGCTGTGACGTCTGTGACGTTGCAGGAATATGAAGCTCCAAAGAACAAACAGTGCAGGAACCACACATGCAATATGTGTCAAAACGCATCCCGCCGTTCTGGGTCGCTCTGAGTAGCTGGGTCGGGGATGTAGGTGTGGCTCGCCACTCTCCTGCACACGGCCCCGACACGCCCCGTGATCCCCGATGCCCAAAGACTGATAGTTTCCCTTTCTTTTTATCAGGCCTTAGAGGAGAACTACTATAACTAATTGCGATGGCCTCCAACCTACTAGTGAGGGCCTGCAAAATAAACGTGGAAAATGTCAGAAGACTTCCAGAGCATGCCAAGCCCTATCCTTGGTTGCCTCAAGAGTCGGAAAGGTCCCCGTCGATCTACGGCCCCCCCCCTCTTTGAAGATGCCAACGCAGACTTTCAGTGTCATATCCGTGCAAAAAGCCATAAAAGCGTTGTATGTCGTAATGACGGACCCGGTCTCAAGTGGCTAAAATATTCGCAGATTCGCAGTGTTTTGATGTTTGGAATTAGTTCTCATACGAGGCCTCTGGTGCAGCAGCACCTTCATCGATCGCCGCTTCAAGGCCGGCTTCCACCACCTCGAGCGTATTCGGCGCCGTCGGCGCGCGATCGCAAGGTCGAGACTCCGAGATATGGCCGAAGCAAAGTCCAGGAAACCAAAAAGAGTGGACAATGAAACAAGAACTGAAAGGGAAACATAACTATTAGCAATGGTCTGCACCCGCAAACCAATGGCCTCCAACCTGAGAGCAATGGCCTTCAATCTAATAGCGATGGCGTCCAATCTATAGTGATGGCCTCCAATCTGGTTGCCGAAGCAAAGTCCCGGAGAGACAATAGATTGGACAAAGAAACAATAACTGAAAGGGAAACGCAACGAGTAGCAATGGTCTCCAACCTAGAACCACTGGCCTCCAACCCGATAGCGATGGCTTTCAATCTAATAGCGATGGCCTCCAATCTACAGTGACAACCTCCAATCTTAGAGCGATGGCCTCCAATCTAACAGCGATGACCTCCAACCTAGAAGCGATGGCCTCCAACCTGATAGCGAGGGCCTGCAACCGTAAGCCACGTTGCAGGTCGCAGGTCAGATTTGAAGAACCACTGTCCATTTGCACATATGAAGTACGATGCAGTCCATTTGCACATGTGAAGTACGAGGAGCCACAAAAAAGCATCACGAAAAAAAAAAGCGTGCGTGCACCAAACATCTCAGGATCATGTGTGACA